GATGTTGTGGACAAACGTCCACAGTGACAGCTGCTGGAAATGCATCTTATGTTGTTTCTAAATGGGGGGAAATGCCCCCAGCAGATTAAAAAAAAAGGTTTTCCTTCGTGATGCTGATGCTGCTCATCCTGACTGATGGAGGCTGAGCAGATCTTCACCTCCGATTTCTGATCATCTGATTCAGGATCTGCTGAAATTCAAAGCTTTGTGTATACAAGTCAATTTTTTCAGCCGTTCTGTGACATTTGTGCGCTTCTAAACAACCTTTTTAGGCATTTTTCATGAATGTAAACTCATTTAGATTTTTATTCGTTTCTGACATTTTAATCTGAAGCTGGTAGCAGTAACTGATGTTTGTGCTTTGTTGTGTTTTTTAATGACCTGATGGGTCCGCGAGATTCAGCAGAAAGCATTTTTTGATATTGTATCAGCATGTTTCATTTCAGCCAATAAACAGTTTGTGATTTTTGCGACTCGTCGGTTGGACGATAGTTTTCCACAAAGCTTTGCATGCATGTGGTGTTTTTTTTATCATGGATGAGCAGCTTCTGTCCGTATTGTTGTTTTGGCTCACACATCTGCAGTTATTCAAGCACAAAAAAAATACTGCCGAAATGGGGAAATATGGGTGCGATAAACAAATGACATGAAGTGATGTATGAGTGATGTTTTCATCAGAATTCAAATGTGATTGGTTGCTGTGACACAGTGGTTCAAACTGAAAGCATGTAAGAAAAACCCTTTTCATGCATGTTTCTGTGTCAAGATTATTGTTACGTAACTCACGTGCTTGGCTGTGATTGGCTCGTGATGCTGCTGTCAGAGATGACTCCTTGCTTCTTTGCATCCTCTGTCAATTCAATTCAACGTATTTATTTGTAATTAACGGATGAATCCAAAAGGTTTTGTCTCCAGCAGAGAGAGATCAGGATGCTGAATACTCACCTACTGACTGTTTCTTTTATTATTACAGATTGAACACCGTTGTTTTGTCTTTGTGTAAGATAATAAATTTTATAATAAAAATCAAATCAATTTTTATGCCAAATTAGTTTCTCTTTTCCTGATTTCCATCTTTCCAAACATCCCTCTGTCTCTTCTTTTTTATTTCAGTGGAAATGTATCCTATCACTTCATAACATTTAAATAAAAAGGAAACCAAACTGATTTGATATCCAGAAAATTCAAAAATCAGCATTTGAAAATTATAATAATGAAATGTTTCATTTTATTTGTGTTGTTGTCTTTCAAATAATTAAATCTGCCTAAAAGCTACCAGATTTTAAGCAATCAAAAAGTAATCTAATATATTAAGAGCGTTAATACATTCTTTAAAAAATAGACTAATAAACATTTTCTGGATCAATTATGTTTGTAAAAAAAGAAATATATATAATCTATATATTAACAGTTTAAATACAGGTATACAGCTAATTAATGTCAAACTAAATAGACGAAGATGGAATTTAACAAAATGTCTTTGTTCCATCACATGTGCAGGATTCCTGTTTCTTTAAAGTTTAAAACAAACATGATGATTTAGATCATCATCATTTACATCATGTCCCATTATTGTCTCATTCTGGTCATTTTTAAATGTTATTTCATTTGACTTTTAAAAAGGTCTCCTGTGTAGCCATTACTGACCTGTTGATGTGTGTTTTATTTTATTTGTCTTCTCACACCTCCAGAGCTCATTTGTCTGGCTTATAAAAGATTCACAGGATGTTTTTTTCTTGGTGATTTTAGTTTGGGGTTCATGGGGATGTAGTCTGATTGGACAAATAATTATTTTTTTTTTTAAACAGCTGTTTAAGGTATTTTCTGTTGTTTTAAACCACATATATTCGCATTTTCTTTGAATAAAAGTTGCCTATAAATATCTGTTATTTCTAAATAAATATTGGTAATAAAATATATCAAAGTTTTGTTATATCTGCTTTAGACTGTTTATACAATATAACACCTGCGATGACTGGCAGGTTAGAAAGTGCAGTGTGCCTCATCTCTCTGTTTAATTTCTCGCTCGTTTTCACTCCCGAGCTGTCAGATCTCAGCTGCTGTCATTTCAGAACTCAAGAGGAACTCGTCAAATTCCCCTCCGACACTTTTCTTGTCTTGTGGGACATTTTTTCTGAGCGTCAGATTCCCATCTTGATGTCGGTAAAAGAAGCAGATAAAAGGAACTTCGGGGCACCGTCATTATCGGCTTGTTGCTGCTCTTGTCTGGTTGTTGTGATGATTTAAAGTGTGAAATGTGCGCTGATGACTCACTGACCGATCCTCGTTACAAAGACTGACCACGTTTCTTTTAGTGGTGAATTAAATGGTGATTTTTATTTTTATTTTTATTTATGAAAACAGAGAATAAATGATCCGGTGGGTCCTGAAAATTTGTTGTTTTCTGTTATTTTATTTCGGTAAATTTCATAAACAAGATAAATGGGGAGTTCTTCGCCGCTCGCTTCGTGAAAATAATAATGTTGATAAAATTAAACCACCGGACTTGTCCCGCATCCTCGGGATGTTTTATTTAACTTAACTGAGCCAAACATGACAGTTCAAAGTTTGAGGCAGCACAAAAGATTGTTGCTCCGACAGATATGTCCTGCAGTGTGCAGCGCATCATTTTCAACAAACTTTTAAAACTTCGCTACTTATTGATCCCCCCCCCCCTCTCTCCCTTCAGACTGCCAAAGGCTACATCCTTTTGTTTGATGTGCTTGGTGGAGGGGATGACAAGTACCTCTATGAGCCCGTCTCCCCCCTCCCGCGGTGCTTTTGCCTGCCCACTGTCGCCACTCCTTAACGTTTCGAAGCTGCAGGGCGGGTTCCCGTTTTATTCTGGTGTGATAATTGAATGCTTCCGGGGAGAGAGAAAAACGCGCTCCTGCTTTTGCTGAACTCGCTCAGAGGAGCAGTTGGTGTCACTTTTCGGCAATAGAAAAAAATAGAAACTCATCTGTTGTGTTAACAGAGTACATGTTGGTACTTCAACCGCGTAAATGCTGGAGTGAAGGCTGTGAAATGCTTTTCCACTGAAATAGATTCATGTTTGAGTCATGTTATGAGTCCTTTTTGGTTGTTGTGTGATCTGAACTTTAACACCATTGAATCGACTTCTTTTCAGCTTCGTGTGTGGGTGGGATTTTCCCCCCACTTTTTTCAGAGAGTGAGATTTTTTAAGGATTGAAGAATGTCTGTGTGGGTGTGTGATATTCAACAGATCTAACCGCTGATTTTAATTAATGCCTCACCTGTAACAGAGAACAATCAGACTGCGTAATTGCGCACGGTGCGCTGAGCGCAGTTGACACCTGTTTGGCCACATTGTTGCTGCTCGTTTTTATTTAAAACTGGCGTGTTTGATAAGAAATAATGCGACTTTGAATTACTTTGTCTCTTCTTATCCTGTGACAAGGATCAAGATCAAGTCAAGAACATATTTGTGAAGGTTTTTCTGCCTTGATGTAACTTAAAACTGTCCATTTTAAGTCATAAAGTGCAGATATTCGCGTTTTTCAATTGAGAATATCAGTCAGGATCAAACGCCTTTATTCTAAATTTGGCGTTTATGATTTTTTTCTCAAGTGAGAATGATTTGTGCTGATATCCCTGCGCGCTCACTTCTTTCATTTCAGGCAGTTGTTTAAAAAAAACGTGCCAGTTTTTAGGGGGCACTAAACACATTTCACTGCAGACGCCAATGAAATCTGCCCAGTAACAATCGTACAGCCTCATTCGAGGGCTGAGGAGCTATTGGCTATGCAAATAGGAGGAGGAAGCAACTTAGACTGGAAAAAAAACTTTAAAGAGACATTTCCACGACTTTTCTCACAAGCACGGCTATAGAGCCAGCGAGCTTCAGATGGAAATTAACAGCTCTAAAGCTCCGAGGACTTTACAGTCCCCAGTCTTCCCCTGATGCACTGATGTCTCGTTTCTTTCACGGCTCGGTCTTTGAAGTTGACTAAGAATGGGACGGGGATTAACATATTTACCCATGCAGATTCTCTTTGTGACTGTATGTGAGGCTAAATCATTTGGCAGTCATTTTTTTAATTATCTGCTCAACGACTTACATTCTCGTTTCCACCTGCTTGTTTTTCCATGTAAATGATGACAGAAGTCTAATTAAAAGTATATAAATATATATATATGTGTGTGTGTGTGTGTATAAATATAAATATATATATATATATATATAGTGAATTTTTTCTGTTGATATTATTTGTGTTGTGCAAACCCAGCGCGTCTCATCTTTGTGTTATCTTTAACAGAAGATTATGCAAAAGAAAAAAAAAGTCAATGCTGCTAGAAATTTCCTAGAAAGTTATCTCATAAACCACAAGCAGCTTTGTGGCGGCTATAAAAAAAAGTATAAGATGATGTGTGTCCGTCTATGTGCGCTGGCGGGTTTGGCGTCTATGCGGACGCGTGCGCGTGTGCGTGCGCGTGCATCTTTAAGTGCTAACTTGTATTTATGGCTGCTCGCCTACAGTATCTACATGCATCACATCTGCACCAAGGTTCACCGAGTCCATTGCAATGCGATGAAAAGAGTGGCAGACATCAATAAATGATTCTCTCATTGGCTCCTTAATCTGAGCTAATATACGAATTATTTTCACAAGAGGGCTCTTGAAGCACTTTATCAACTAAAGCTGACTCCTGGAGCCTTTTGATGCTGGAAATATGTGCAATAATAAAGCAACAATGAACATATTGTAACAATTCTATTTCCTGATTTTGTAACGATCATCATAAGTTCATCAGCATCAACAAGAATAAAAATGCACGCAGGACTGTAGCTGACTGCACTGTGAGTGGCTAAATGCTTTAACGCAGCCAAAGGAAAAACTCTAATTGAACCCCAGTTAGTAAAATAAGGTGACCATAGTCGGATGGTGTTATTCTGTGCTTGCCCCTGCACTGCTGTGCATCTGCATCTAAAATGCATCAAGTTTGGTAAAAGTTGTCTCGCAGCAGGACAGTAGAAAGAGGCTGGAATGCAGCTTGTTGTGTCTATACAGAAGTAATGCAGTTGCGTCAGTGGCGGACGCAGGGCAGGCTAAATGCGCCTGATCTCAGGCAGCGAAAGTAGAGGCGAGCTGTGGGGAGAGAGGAAAAAGTTCTCAACAAGGAGAGGCAGGACTACTCTTACGGAGCCCCTGCAGTCTCGCTTTTTATGCCTCTAAAAGACTTTTCCTGCCATCTTTTTGCATTTTCGCTCTGCAACACGCCTTTGACGTCTCCGAAAGCGAAATCCTACTTTTTAACTTGAGTGAAAACACCAGCACCATGGAGCTGCTCTGCCTCGAAATGGACACCATCATACGAGCTCGTCCCGACGCGAATCTTCTGTGCGATGACAGAGTGCTGCAGCGCTTGTTGACTATCGAGGAGAGGTTTTTACCCCAATATTCTTATTTCAAAGGCGTCCAGAAAGATATTCAGCCGTTCATGAGGAGAATGGTGGCCACTTGGATGTTGGAGGTACAGCGAAACACCGAGTGCTGACAAGACATATTATTTCCGTGCTCGACTTTAAAGCCTCTCGATTTCTTTCATTTCTTTATCGAGCAATGGTTGAAATATTCCGAGGAGCACATATGACATACGACTCATATTTCCGACTGCTATTTCCTTATATTATCCGTCGGTGCCGTTTAACGCATTTTCTTTCCATTTTTAAAGTCCGATCGCTGCGTTTACGAAAGTGGCAGCTGTGCCATCGGTGACACCGGAGGATTTCCTTTATCTGCCTCACATGGTGTCTGCACATGTTGCCCGTTGATTGTTTGATGTTATTATTTTAGATGAATATTTTCGTGCACACGTATGCACTCCCCCAATTCAATGCTGACTTGCGCTGTATCGCCATGTTGGTTTTTATAGGAGCGCTTTTAAGAGGATTTACAGTGTCAAAAGCAAAGTAACAGCGCTTAAAAAGCGTCGGTAATGACAGAAGAGGGTCTTAGGTGTCCATCAAATACAGACTCGATCACAAAAAGCTTTGCGATCGCTTCAGATATCTGTTTAAATGTCGGGAAGGGCGAGGGCCTTATCGCTTCTTTTGGTCTCCGGTGACTCGCCGAAGATTTCTGTTCATTTGTTGACGATCCGTCAAATATTTCCGGTCAACAGGCTTCTCTAAACAATCTGGAGTCGTTCCTCTTTATTTTCATGTAAATATTGTCAGAATCTGACGCACGTGAGATTTTTAATTAATTTTTGAAATAATTATATCGGCTCGGCGGTGAGGCACGCCACACCAGCCGCTCGCGACTCGCCTCTTATTTTGACATTTTCTTGATATTTCTCGCGCGTGGATACGGATAGGAATTGTCGGATATGATGTGGAAGAGTCTCCTGAACATTATGGTGTGAAAAAAGTCGCCCCAGATAATTTATTTCTATTTTTAAATATTTTATGAAAATATGACGACTGTTTTAAAAAAAAGTGTGTTTCCGTGTGCTGCGCTTTCCTGGTGTTTTTTTTGGCTCGGTGATTGTGACTTGAATTCATTTCTTAGTGAATGAACTGCAGGAATGCGAGTCTATCGAGAGTATGTGTCTTAAAGTTATTTCAGTCTTTGTGAAATAATTTCTTTCGATTTATTTTGTGATGTCGCAACAGATCTGGGCTGGGCGCAAATTCTTGGCCGAGCCCCAACTATGTGTGTCATTGATTTTAAATGTGCTCTTATGTGATCACTCTTTTGTTTCGTTATTTCATAAAAGTTTTCTATACGTTTCAAGCGCTGAAAAAGAAGTCACGTGTCGTCAACGTTGTCGCCTTGTGTGCTGTCTCCTTACAGGTTTGTGAGGAGCAGAAGTGCGAGGAAGAAGTTTTCCCCTTGGCCATGAACTACTTAGACAGATTTCTAGCAGTGGTACCCACCAAAAAGTGTAACCTGCAGCTGCTGGGAGCAGTGTGCATGTTTCTTGCATCCAAATTGAAAGAGACTCGTCCATTAACTGCAGAGAAGCTGTGCATCTACACAGATAACTCCATCAGACCACAAGAGCTGCTGGTAAGCGACAGTTTCACGCAGTTTGCAGTAACACATCTGCAGACTCACATTGTCACCATCAGCTGGTTAAACATATTACATAACTTCTTCATCAGAGCACGTTTGGAAGCCGGGATTTATCCGGTTGTTTCCTGATTTAAAAGTTTCAAATGTGACGTATACTCGACATGGGGGCTGTTCCCGTTTCTCTGAATCGTTGTCCAGGCTTTAGACATGAAAGGAGCTCAGCGCAGGATTGTTCTTTACTGTATAAGACCCTCAAGGCTTTACTGTAACCTTCCAGCCTGTGCGGTGGTCTCCATCGCCATCTGCTGGTAGATATTTTCACAGATCAGCGAGGTCATATTGAACCGGAGCCAAAGCTCTGTGTTCCTGTGAGCTAGAGAGGGAGAGACGGAGAAATTCAAGTTTGCCTTTTACAGTTTAGCTGGTGTCCAAAAATAACTGGATGCACACATTTGTGACGTGAGGTCACGAGTCACAGTTTGTGATCCGAGCTGCACGTGAAACCCACAGAAAAACTGTCCTGTTTATTGAATATGAGCTCTGTTGTGCTGGCAAACCAATTAATTAAGTCAGCTTCACATCAGATAAGTATTTTCCCTCCTGCTCTGTGGTGCTACATAAACATTCCTCAGTAAACAACAGCCAATCCCACCCATGTTGTGAAAGAGGCCACATATTATGATTCAGACGGGCTGATGGTTGCAGGCCTGCCTCGCTGCCTGACTGGCGGCTCTGCCCACCGAGCAGACTGCCGCTGCAGCACATTCAAGTTCCCAACGAGCTGCTGTTGATTTGTTGCTTTGCTATAATTTTCTGGAATGACAATTTCATTTGTTTAATGAAGGCTGCGACTCCGAGCCAGCGTCTTAAAGTTAAACAGCTAAACAAAATGCGCCGCTGCGGCTGAAAACTGGTATCCTCTGCATGCAGCTGCACTTGACAAAAAACCGTCTCTGACACCTTCGTGTTCAGACTGGAGACGAAGCCTCAGTCCTTGAACTGGTTCGCTGAGGCCTCCTTTCTGTGTTTCTGTATAAGGCGGTATTTTGGCTGACACGCAGATACAGGAAACAGATCAGCTGCTCGGGGCATGTGATCGTTTTTTTGTCCTCATCTTTAGTAAGAACTTCTTGTAAAGAGAACCACAATTTTACGAAGAAGGTGTGACCAGAGGAAGGCAGTAAGCAGAAGGAAGTGGGTGATACCAGATTGCCACCCTTGTCAGCATAAAGCATGTGTTGCAAGGTTTGTCGCAGCTATTGCTGTAGGCTTTGGTGTTGCGTACTGTCGTCGATGGAAACACCTTTTAATAGCAGGAGGCTGCTGATGATCATACGTTGCTGTAGCCAGAAGGAGACGAGTTTCACTTTATAAACTCATCAGAAACACGTCTTGTTTTCAGTCTCTCAAACATCAGCAAGAAAGCAAAGCATGACTGACAAAGGTCACTTTGATTGGGGAAAGGCGTGCTGCTAGTAGGGGCGGCCATATTGAATTGTCTCATGACCGAGCCCATGTGGTCGCTCCTTCTTAAAGGGAAAATGAAGAACATCCATCCTCCCGGTCACAAGGCTGCAGCTTGCAACCAAACCACTGAAAATTTTTCCCAAATTAGTCACCAGCTCTTTGGTTAATCACCTCCTCCTCTAGGAAGTGAAAGTAACAATGCAGTCTCAGAAAAGAGAACGCCACACCTAGTGTCCTCAGCCCGTGTTACAGACGTGCAGATGGATGAGCACGTGTCAGCACATCCTGCAAATGACAGACTCAGATGCTGATTAATTAATCAGAGTTTCAGTCGTTCCACAAAACACTTTATGTGGAAAATATAGTAACTAACTGCTGCGTTGCAGTTAGTTACAGCCTCTGATGGGCCTCTTTAGGAAAGTCCCCACATGCCAGACACAAACAGGGAGGGAGACGGTGATGCCGGGTCACCTGGGTCGGTGGCCCAGCCGAGCAGAGACCAATAACACTTAACCTCCAGATGCTCGCCGTGTCACATTAACGCACGTTTGGCTCAAGCGCACCTGGCTAAACAATAAAAGTGCAGAGCTGTTGTTTTCAGCCATCTTTTCTGCTCGCTCTCTAGGAATGGGAACTGGTGGTGCTGGGGAAGTTGAAGTGGAACCTGGCAGCAGTAACGCCGAACGATTTCATCGAGCACATCGTGAGAAGGCTGCCGCTGCCCGAGGATAAGCTGGCACTTATTCGGAAACATGTGCAGACCTTCATTGCCCTCTGCGCCACAGGTAGGAAACGCTCGATTCCCTGCAGTCGCTGAGATGACCGCATCTGTTCCTTGATCTTTTTTCTTTCGTCTGCGCAAATCAAACCAAGCGCTAATGGCTTACGCTAGCATACTCTGTAGTGTTGTCTTTGCCATTTCTTCTTTCAGGGCCGTGTCAAAGTCTTCTTTGGAGATCTGTTATACAGCTAGCCTCACCTTCTTCTTCCTAAGAAAAGCATTAGTCGTAAAAGTGTCCGCCTCTTAGGTCTGACATCCATCTGTCTTCTCCCTGCGGCCTCTGAAGTAACACTTCAAAGCCTGATTGAGGGGTCGAAGAGACAAACGGACAAGGCTGGAGGCAGGCAGACCATTGTCTTCTTACACTTGAGCTGAACGGTTCCCGTAAGATCAAACATGCAGGGAGGGATGAAGGAACGAGAGCTCATGATATGAAGAGAGTGAGGTCAAAGTGGGAAAGATGCAAGAGGAGTGAGGGTGTTTTTGTGCTGCCAAATCTGAGGCATGTTTTCAAATTTCCTACGTTCTTTCTCTCTCTTAACTTCACACGCCTCCACGCCCCGGCTGCAGGACATGATAGCGTTTGTAACAGGGCAGATTTCCCTCAGGTCGCCACGATCAGCTACAAAGCAGGCAGGGCCATGAGCGCCTTCCTGCACCGCTTCTGGACGCGCTCGAGGACTTTGTGCGAACGTTTACTTTGGATAACCGCACAAGTCATCCTTAATAATGCTCTCTGCCCCCCCCCAAACTGCAGGTCACAAATAGGAATGCTAACTAACACCCCCCCACACACACCTCCTTCTGCTGACAACATTGGGAGGAGTGTGCACAATTAGATGAATAGACGTGACAATCGCAGCGTGAGGCGATCTCCTGCACCGATTGTGCAGAGTCTGAAGTGACGCTTCATCTTTTAATTCGTTCCCTGCGTCCTCCGTCCGACTCCCTCAGTTTTCTCATATCTCACTTTTTTCCCGTATTCTTGCCAGAGGATTAATGTTTGGAATGACAGCGCGTCAGGGATCGGACCTATTCCCCGAGCAACGTTGTGAAAGACTCGGCGTGCACTTTGTCCGCGATTGCTTCAGTGAGGCAGTGGAAATAAATTTACGAGAATCGTCCTCCTGACGCTGTATTCGCTCGACCGTCATCGGGCCGTTTATTTGTGCACACGCTCCGTATCCAGGCGAGCAGGAAGTGAGGGCAAAATGAGGAAAGATACAGCACGAGTGAGTCTTCGGTGCATCGGAGGATCTCTGGGAATACGAGACCCGTTTGTGAAACGTTCCCAGCTGTAAATCTTCGGGTTATCTGGTGAGAATCCTCCTCGAAGGCGTCGTCTGAGCAGAGTTGAGAAGGTAAAGGCGCAGGAGGATTTACGTTTACGAGCCGTCGACAGCGAGGTCATCTGTGGTCCCACCGCCGCCGTCCCTGTACGGGGAAAGAAAACGCGTAAAACGACGGCTCTCTGTTCTGAGAGAGGAGAAGAAGAAGGCCTCTCGTTCCTAATGGCTCCTCTCTTTTGATGAAACAGTTCCGTTCGGGCCACTCGGTGGGATTTTGTCAGGTGGCGCAGGCTGGCTCTGTATTAATTAATAACATTGGCTGGTCCATTCAGGACTATGCAAATGGCTCAGAGGCTCAGCTAGAGACTGGGAGAAAGGAGACAAAAGGCTTGGCCCTTACGTTTCATATGCAGAGCCGTGCGAGGGTCGGCGCTGCAGGGCCACTTGATAGGAAACGCCGGCGTTTCCCTCAGGCAGGCTGCCGCATAATAGCCCAGAAACAAGCTCATTAAGGCAGATTATGAACCTCCGTTCGTAGACAGACACCGAGCACTCTGAGCTTCCTCTTCTATTCTTATTCAATCGAGTTAAAGTGGGAGAAAGGACGGGGTGCGCGGGGCAGACAGATGCAGCCCAACCTGTCTGCTGCCGTCGTTGAGCCCCATCTTCGTGCCGTATTGGCGGGGTGCATTTTTCCTGTAATGGTATGCAGGGAATGGTGACAATGGTCACAGAAGCTGATCAAAAGAAATCTCTGGATCCGGGCCAGCAAGTCTCCAAGAGACTCCACACAATGCCGGTTTCGCTACAAGTTGGGATCTAAGTAATGAGCGCTCGTGCTTTTGTCTGCGGACAGTATTTGATCACTTATTGCTGGTGTGTGTCTTTCAACTCCGTATGAAGGACTTGATGATTAACTGGTTAGTTTATCAGGACAACTAATGATTCACTAGCTGACAAACACGAGGGAACTCGAGCCGTGCTTACTTTCAACTCCAGTGTAACTTATTCCCTTTATTTTATTCCCAACCTGCATGTTGGGAATGTTTCAATTTCGCTTTTTGGAAAGCTTTCGGCCTCTTTGGCCTTTTCTGGGTTCCACGAGCTGCGTTTTTAAATCGGCGGCAGCTCAAATGTCGCAGCTTGATTCACAAGCCCTCTTTCTTTTGTTTTGCCTGTTAAGTGTCTCTAGTCCAGAGGCGGGAACGCTCCGTGTAGCTTCGACTCCGAGCGGCCGTGGCGCGGAGAATCCCCTCCAGCCTGGGCTCAGCATTGTAAAGATGGATGATTCATCTCAGATGTGTTCGATGAAAAGAGCTTCGCTGGTGTTTGTTTACATAAAATCCCCTCCGTGTTTGATGAGTCAGAACCCGAACAAATTAGCCACCTTCTCCAGCGAGTTATCCTTTCCCTGCTCGCTCCGCTGATGTGAGGAATCATGTCCGGTCAACAGATGAAGCAGGAAAAGGCTTCCTGACAGTGTGTGCCCAGTAACGTGACACAGGGTGAATCATCGAGTGGCACGTCCTGAGCTCGCCTCGTCACCTTGCTGTTTAATCAGCACCACGGCAGAAATCCTGCGGCTGGTTGAGTCACGCCGGAGATCACAGACAGTTTGCTTCGGCTGCCAGCAAAAAGGTTTAGAAATCAAAATCTTCCGTGTTTTCCTCGGACGTCATGTGAACCACAAAGACTAATATTTGTGCTAAAGTAAATGTTTTGGTTCCAGATAGTTTGACTCAACATTTTTCTCAGCACACTGTCCCCTAATTTTTGTCTTCCTCTTTAAAGGCTACTTCATCCGGATGATCTGATGTCGTCGTGTTGGTGTTGTTCCCAGATCATCATGAAAATGTTGTTCCAGGTTCAACACTGCAAGTGACCAATCACATTATTGTGACGTTATTCTTTTGCACACCAACCCATTCGTGCATTTATGAAATTCCAATGTTGCAAGGACAATATCAATTCTGCTTAGCGTTTATTAAAGGGTCAGGGTCAGGGTTAGGGTCCGTTGATCGGCAGACAAAGGCGGTTTCTCGCAGCTTAAGTACAGTTTTTTGTTTTACGCCGGTTTTTCCCGAAGTCGCAAAAGTATGACATCACAACATTCTGATTGGTCACTTGCAATGTTGATCCTGGAACAACCTTTAGTATGATGATCTGGGAACAACACCAACACGAGGATATCAGATCGTGCACTTGATCCGGCCTTTAAATGCTGTCATTAGTTCTTTATTTCCAAAGCAGGACGTGAACAGGAAAATTTAACTGTTGGATCTGATCCAAACTACTGCGGCAGCACTTTGAGGTTGTTGCAGGAGCGATACACTAAACAAAAGATTGTTTTTGCTATTCGGACGGAAAAACAAGAACCACTCACATCGATCGCATCAGATGAGACTGATGAAGACGCAGCAGGCAAAGGGGGCGGGTTACAAAGCAGCTTGCAGATGTGCTACAACTGTTGGCACGCTAATGCAACTTAAATGGCGTGTCATATTATGGCAGATGCCGAATAGATGCGTAGAAGGGTGTCAGCTGAGGTCAGCTAAACTTTGACCTGTGGCTGAGCGTCACTTCCTGGCCCGTCTGCACCGACGCTTCTGTGAGAGGAGAGCGGTGCACGGTACCGGCTGTGCCTCGGTTTGTCCGTCAGGCACACCCGAGATCATGTTTACAGATTGTTTATTCATTCTTTAACAACGAGCAGGGAATTCGTGGTGATTGCTGAGGTAACGATGGAGCAGCGTGACAGTATGTTGAGTACAGTCCAAAGGGTCAAAGGAGCTTGCAAAGAAAAGCGTCTGGACTTCTTTAAGTTACTTGAAGACGTTTCACCTTCATCCAAGAAGCTTCTTCAGTTCTAAGGTCAAATGGTGGAGAGTCCCACAGTTTCACACCTTGGCTCAGGCGATTAGAGGATCATCAGGGGGTCCTTTTGTCCCTCTGTGGGGGGAAACTCCCACTAGGTTTAAATCTGGGACTCTCCAGCATTTGACCTTAGAACTGAAGAAGCTTCTCGGATGAAGGTGAAACGTCTTCAAGCAACTTAAAGAAGTCCAGACGCTTTTCTTTGCAAGCTCCTTTGACCACAATGACCTGGATGACTGAGAACCTTCACAGACAATAGTCCAAAGGGACGAATACCCGAGATTTTTGAATGAAGCTCAGTCGATTTAATCCAAACTGTAACCAAAATCGCACTCCACATCTGTACGCTCCTCAACGCTGATGTTACTCAAGCCTGCAGCTGTGACACAGGATGTGCTAGCGAGAGGCTAAAAGGGCAGCTTAACATAAAATCCCGAGCAGGAGCGTGCAACTCTCACAGGTTTGTGTTTTTAGTTTGTTTCCAGAGTGACAGCCAGACAGGAAGCAGTGGAAAGGACAGAAATATCAAGTTGTTGTTCGTTAATTTGGCGTTTGTGGAAAAAACCCGGCGCGTGGGCCTCGGCCAGCGGCAGGTGGATTGTCTTCTGAGAAGCTCCACAGAGGTCGTTTTGGCTGAAACATCCTGTCACGCCAGTCCTAAAGAGATGTTTGCTTTTACCCTTAATCAGTCAACCAAACCCCGTGTCCTCGTCACGGCGCTCCCTCAATAAACAAGTTCAATAAGCGCTACATGTATAGAATACAAGAAGCTGATTTATCGCTGTGGAAAGCGGTCGGGCTAAACTTTCCAACTTTAATTAATTTACAATTTTAATGTGCGCGGTGTGCGTCGCAGCCACCCAGATGGAGCGGGCCACGTAGGGCGGGAGAATGTGCGACCGGTGGCCCGAGGATGACGTTTCGCGGGGTAGGAACGGGGAGGGATGGAGGCGAGGGGGCACGGGGAGGAGAAAGGGCCATTGAAGGGGCTGAGAGGCGTGCAGGCCGGGCCAGCCAGCCGCTGCTCACAGGGAGCTTTCCATCGCAGGCGTCCCCACTCAGCTACATACACTGTTTATCCTCAACATGAATATCAATGAGGGCTCCTAAAATACAGCCATTCTTCGCCCCACATGCAGCAGCCACCAGGCCCGAGTGTCAGCGCGCATCGGCTGCACGCGCGCGTCCTTGTTCTGCTACAGACCTGTCTTGTCTTGAGTGCGAAAAATCAGCTTGCTGCCCACTGCCTGCCACTCAGCTCTCCCACAAACCAACATCTGTGCCGTGCGTGTGCATGGGGGGGGGGGGTCAGTGTGTGTCTGCATCTGAAAGCACGCAGGCATTGTTTCCCGCCTGTGTCGCTGAGGTGTCGTCGCCTCGCCTGTCGCTCCGCGCTCGCTGCACACTTACAGTAAATCCTTGTATGCCTTTGTCGTCTCGGCCCTCTATAGAAAGCTGTGCTCTTACAGCAGTGATGTAATGCCGCGGGGCTTTGTGCGCTCTTTCCTCTTGGCTCGAGGTGGCCTTTAATAAATCGCCCCCTTGGCAGAGGCCCAGCGGCTAACACAGGGGTGTATAATAAGTTCATTTATTTGTCAACACTGAGCCCGCAAGATGAGAAAGCGCCTGGCTGTGCATGTTAAAAAGGCAGTGAGAGGCTGCCTTTGCAGCTATCAAAGGACCCACCTCTTTGATTCCCAATAAAAAAAAGAAGAAGAAAAATCTCCTTCAGAGCCATCGCACGCGGTTTGCTTTGCAATTGAATATAGCAATATGTTAATGTGCAGGCTGTTTCTGTGCCCCCGCTGCTCACTCCTCTAACCCAGAGGTGGCCCAGGAACAGAGGGATACTTGCAGGGAGGGATTGGGGGAGGCAGGAGGTGAGGGTCACTGGAGGGCAAGTCTTTTCTTCTTCCAAAACTTCACAAGGGTCTGGACGCAGACTCGATGTGCAGCAGAGTCGTCTAGCGCCCCCTCCTCCCACCTCGCCTGCGACCTTCCCCTCTTTTCTCCCGCTCCGTCCATCGCTGCCCTCTTCGTCTTCCTCCCCCCCCTGTCAAGCCCCCATCCTCAAGTCCAGCCAGGGTCTTTGTGCAGCCTGTCTAGCTGAATTGGAATCGGTGGCGAGAGGATGGATGCCGCGTCCCTCATTTGGGTGAAATGAGGTGATGACTCTGGACAATGGAGTCACACTCTTCTGCCTGCCCTCTCATAGGCCCGCCACTCTATTAATATGCTAAAAGATAGGAGGGCCGCCAATGCAAACCGCTGCCTGTTGTAGCAACAAAGACGGCGGCATGTGTGCCATTCACTCGCCGTCCAAGCAGCCATGTGTTCCCCAGGAAGAAAGGTAGAAGTTGAGCAAGACATAAAGAGAGAATGCAGAAGGTAGTGTGTGTGTGTGCATGTGTGTGTGTGTGTGTGCATGCATGCATGCATGTGTGTGTGCAGAGCAAACCTCTCCCTGTCTGTCTCACTGTATGCCAGTTGCCTTCTCGGGCTTCTGGCCCGTTCACAAGCTGTCTCATTTGCATTATGAATGACAGCAAGGGGAGCTAACAAGGTTATTGGTCTTTGAGACGCACGCCTGTGACCACACGTGGAAAAAGGACCTACAGCAGTGCGCATTGGCAAAGGCACTGAGCCTCTTTATTCCTTCTTTTCCAAGCGCTATGGGGCTTTTTTCAGCGAGCACACGATTTACTCAGGAGATGGAAGAAAAGGGGCCGGGCTGGGGAAAGGGGGACTGCATCGGGGTGAGGGTGGTTGCTTTTCAGCTCCTTTACAAGCCCAGTGAACCCTCATTATCCAGGCCCCTGGTCATTAGCGAGCCCAGCGTTCATAGCCGGTGCAATAGAAGGAGTATTTATTAGCTGACGGCTAGATTACTAAATCATACCGTAGCTGAGCCCCGCGAACTGAAACGTGCAGGAAAGAAACCAGTGGTGAACACATGCACCCACCTGACCAAAGACTGTGCTTCCTGACTTCATACGCAGACGAACAAACTCACATTTAACTCAAACGTTTTTATTCCTCTGACAGATTTCAGATTCGCCATGTACCCTCCATCCATGATCGCTACAGGAAGTGTGGGGGCGGCGATCTGCGGCCTGCAGCTCGATTCAGCCGACCAGTCACAGTGGGGCGACAGTCTGACGGACCTGCTGGCAAAAATTACAAACACAGAAGTGGTGAGTTCACCTGTCACTGCAGCTCGGGCATCAGTAAGTTTAAATATCCAGCGCTAAGAGTTCACACTTACATCTGGAGTGTAGGCGATTTGTTGCTGAGTAGGGATGCACCGATACCGATACCATTACCGATACCAGTATCGGTATCGGTACTGGTATCGGTATTGGTACTGGTATCGGTATCGGGGCCGATACTGTAAAATGTGTGTGTACTCATACTCATAAAAGTTAATCGATACCATGAACCGATACTAACTTATTTCATTAGTCAGAGGTGGCTTGTCATTTCTGTTGTAGTTCTTTAGATTGGCCACTAGGGGGACATCCCGCGCTAAACAGGCACAGGGTTAGGCGAGTGAGACTGGCAGCTCCAGATAAAAAAGAGAAACTGGAGGCTGCTGTAGCTAGGCTAAACAAAATGTCAGCAGTGTGGAACAGCCAACTTTAACTCAGGTTTTGGAAAAGCGAAGAAAAATGTCAAGAGAAAATCCACGGGCAGTGTGTGTGTGTGTGGTAGAAGTATCGGTTTTTGTACTCAGTATCGGCAAGTACTCAGATCCAAGTATCGGTATCGTATCGGTTTGAAAAAATTGGTATCGTTGCATCCCTATTGCTGAGTAATTTTAATCAGTATGACTAAATATCAGTGACTCTGCAGACATCGGTTACATGTTAACTGGCTATCAGAGTGTTACAGTAACTATGATTCAGAGCTTAATCAGCTGTTTCCTGCACTGGAAGCGTCTTTACTGAACATTTCTAGTGAAGTGACACATTTAAGTCATCTTATCACCACGGAAACAAACAGGTTTTGCTTTTCTCAACTAATTGTGTTGTTTTTTTGCCCGACCAAACGTGCTGCTCTGCTGGAAAGCACATGGCAAGTTAAGAAATGCCACGTTTGTCGAGGCTGTGTGTGCGCAACAGACAAAAGTTGAAATGTCACTGAGATTTGGCTTCACACGGGCATATTTTAGGGGAGATTTACTGCCAATTTGAATAAAAATGAGCACGAGACTGAGCTAAAATGTCTTCATTTAAAGAAACGATCGATATTTGTCTCGATGACTTGTCTTTAAAACAGTCCAGCAGCTCCCTCGTGTAAAGGCTCCTCTAAGTCGCTGTGTAACTGACAGGAAGGCCGGTGAAGCTGGTGCAGTGAATGTTGCACCAGAGGATAAGCTATGTCAAACACAGGCAGGGCCCCTGCTAACTCTGAGATTCCTGGCTTTCATCATACACCAGAGAGGATTTTGTCTGTCTGTAGTTCGCTGCTGCAAAGTTCTTCTTCTTTAGTCTCCGGAGGGTGAGCTGGCGAGCACAGGTCAACAACCACCACCTTGCCAGGAGTGCTGCTAATACCTAACGTGATAAAAACGTCTTTAGGTTGGTAATGGCAGACTTAATCTAAACTGTGTGCAGAGTGCACGGGGGGCGCGACACAGATCCGAGCATCGGCCGTGGCATGTTAAATTCTGCCTGAAAAGGAGGCAGAGGGGGAGGAGGAGGTGGAAGAAAGCTGTTGAAGTGTGAAAAGGACACCGAGGGGGTGTTACGCCTCCCTCGCGACAATCGGGCCTCTCTTGTCTCCTCCTATGGTCCATAATGCAGCGCTGCTGGAGAGCATGGCTCCCTCTGGTGCGAGCTGTGTGAAGTCTCGCTCAGCAGCTGAGGAAAAACAAATAGTTGGCCTGAGCAGCACAGGGCCTCAGTGTGTTTTAGGCTGCTCCGTCTCAGACTCGAGGGAATTAAGTGGCGCTGCGTCTCAGCGATCGACTCCTTACATTCCTGGATTCAGACGAGCCACGGCTCGCGGTAAACACGGGAGGAAAAGCACGAGGCGCCCGTCCTAATTCAACATATAGGGCTTTAGTGTGAACTGCCAAGCGAAGCTGAGGGTATTAAAAGATTTTCCTGAGATCCTCGCGTCAGGCTCGTGCACCACGTGCAAAAATCTCACTGCACAGAGTTAGTTAGGACTGACGCCACTTATTAATACTAGTTACGCCCTCTGCCCGTCTCAGCGTGCAGGCTTCGGTCAAAGAGGAAATGCTGTGTGATTTTAGCAGCGACCCACCTTCATTTAGACTTCAGACACCAGCGAGGTGGTGCGAGTCTAAAAGAGTACGCGTAACGTCCCCCGTGTGATTTTGGGCGACTCGTAGCCGCTCGGCCAAAGAGCCGAAATACGAAGGCCGAGCGAGTTTCGCCAACCGCTGCAGCTGCTGCTGCCAACAGCGCCGTGGCCAACGCCACCCCCTGGCACCCCGCTGGCATGTGTGGCATCCAGAAGCTGCGGTTTTCCAGTGGAAATGCGATAGGGCCAAGTCACCGTCTTTGGGCCACTGCAGGAATGCGTGTTGCCTCGCAAACACCTGGTGTGGCCTCGCGGGGCGAGCAGACGGCCGTGTGTGCGTTCGTGTGTGAGGTGAGCAGAGTTTGAAGCAGGAGACGGATCAGTTTACTCTTGATTGATTAAAACAGGAAACGGAGGCAGAGGGTTTAAGAGCGCCGCTTCCCAGATTTGATTGTTTTCTCTCCGTCTTTCATTCATCTTTTTTCAGCCGCGGTCACATGCTCCGACACCGGAAACACATTTTCCCATTGCTCCCTTTGTTTTTTAATCAGTTATTTCCTGGGGACAAAATGTAATAAAAGATGCTTTTATCACGATGGATCGCATCTATCAGCACAGCCTGTGGCGTCACCACTTGTGGTGTTTCAGGCACGCGGCTAAAGAAAGGGAAAGGTCACATTTCTATTGTAACTTGTGGAAATTCAAGTCATGTGGTGACTTCTTATTTCCAGCGTCGGCCCCGGGATATTTTGTTTTCAGATTCCCTGAGATTCGTAGCGTCCCTGCCTGTGTGTGTTTCAGCTGTCTGACCACCAAATCCTCCCAGAGTGGCCAACACTGTCTTGTGTGGTGCAGTCAGCAGTTAAAACACATTCCACTCTTCACACATTTCTTCCTTTTGGTTTTGTCTGTCTGCACGACTTCCTCCCGCCGCCTGTGTCACAAAGGCCGCCCAGGGATACAGTGCATGCCACGATTTGTCAGACTGTTGCAGTATGATGCATGTTTGGGGAGGGCAGAGGGAGGACGACGACTACAGGAAAGGATCAGAGGTGGTCGTGTGTTTTCCGGTTTGAGGCTGCAAAGTAAGATGCTTAAGTGCAACGCTGCGTCCCACGGTGAATTTACTCAGTTGTTGGCCCCTTCATTGTCCGAGTACCTGCAGCTTCTGTGGAAACAGCACTGGTGTTTCCAGTAGTCGCACACTGAAGTCATTAAAGGTTCTCAAATAAAGCCCACGGGGCTTGGCGAGGGATCCGAACTGCCGCTCTAAAGAGCAGCGCAGACGGGGGGAGAATGTCTTTTAAGAAACGAAGGCGTGCATTCTTGCGGTAGGACACAAGCAGTTCCCTTACATGTTCGGCGTTTGAGTCCATTTTCTCACAGGAATTGAGATTTTATGACCAATGAGGCACATGTTGGTGGGAAGACTTTGCATGTGTGCATGAACACACCCCCACATTAGTGGCCACCCTCTGGAGGAGATTAAGGGACAGACTCTGGTGGGGTTTCCTCCATGTCGAAGCCAGTGCAGAGGAAAGTTTGCCCAGAGGCGTGCAGCCCAGATCAGTCGAAACTGGTCGAGTTAAGACGTCAGGGCAGCTCTCACTTAGTATTTTGGTAGTGGCTTCTTTTTTCACATAGTATGTAAATCCTCTTCCTTCTGTTATGTGTCGTGCTGTTTGACCTTTGACATTGTGACCTTTTGCCACAGCTTCCTAAGAGCGACTCTGACGTGAGTGAGGGCCCGGTTCCTATTTCATCGAGGCCGCTGCACCAGAGGCTGTAACGGGCTGGACCGAGGCCATCGGGTTTAAATTAGCTGTAAATTTCTAAAGAATGTCTCAACGCTCCACAAGCCGTACACTTTCACCCATCCTTTCAGTCACCGGACCTCTCGTGCTATAAGGCGCAGGTCATGCCTGCATGTGCGTGCACAGAACTAAAAGGACGGCTTCAGTTGTTTTTGAAGTGTTTTACCACCAGAGGGCAGTGTTTCTCAGTCAATAGGCTCTGCAAAGTACACTTGGCATCTTCTTCATGTGCGTTATTAATGGTTGGTCACCTGCACCTTATGCTACATGATGTCACTGTTGTTGTTTTGCAGCAACACAGATTTTTTTCATATGTCATCATTTTAAATCTGATAATTAGTTTGAGCTCCTGGGACTTTGATCCTTTGAGCTACTTTAGGTATTTAATGACCCTCCTTAAAACAGTTTGACCTTTCTCTGACGCTAACAGCCCGTTCAGCACTCTTTTACACCAACCCCCCCTTCCTACCCCCGTCTTACTGCGCTGCACTGTCCCCTCTCTCAACCCTCTCCCGGGGAAGGATAAGAGGCCTCGGTGCTGTTGAGGAGTTTGTCTCCCAGGTGGATTCTCAGTTTTCCTTGGTGGCCTTTGATGGTGTAAGTCGATGCGGCTGGGTCTCAGATGATCCCCTGCAGGCGGGCGGGCGCACAGACTGGCTCTCGTTAAAAAAGCACCACCTTTGTGTTCCCACAGGAGGTGGATGTAATTAACATAGCTTTAATACTACCTGTGTTTTCAGCCGCCGTTGTCAAGACGACTCCTGTTTGGGTTTTGTGTGTTTTGGGGAACAGCAGAGGTGGTGGGTGGCTGGATGGGGGAGGGCAGAGGTATGCATGCGAGTGTGTGCGTGCATGCCGGTGCATGTGTGTAGGCTACACGAGGACGATAGTGATGGTATTCGCTGCACAACCCTGGTGGGCTGATGTAATGCTTGGGTCTGTTGTTTTTTGGAAGCAGCAGCTCGAAAGTCAGCTGTCATTTAAAATCACAGCAAGACGCCGTCATCATGGCCGAAGCACTTTCTGAACAGCAGATTGATATTATAGGGCATAATATTTGTGTTACATGCTGGACTAAGCTTGATAGAAAATTCAAAGGTTTAACTTGTAGGTTTAAATTGTAAGTAACAGAATTTGTTTGCTCTTTAGTTTCATGATAAAGTCTCGCTTTGAATTAGGGCTGCCACGATTAGTCAACTATCAAAATCGTCGATGACTAATTTAATAGTCGACGCGTCGTTTGAAGCTTTGTAAGATCCCAAAAGACGCAGGAATAAGTAGTAGGATTTAAGAGTGTAATAACGGAC